GTTCTGATAGCAATAGCGACTCCTCAAGACCAAGATCCCAAAGAACAAGGGCAGCTAGGGGTAGTCTCCTCTCTAGATCTCCCACCATCTCAGTCCAAGGAGCCTGGCATGGAGAGACCATAGAAAACAACCCACAAGCTGGGCAGTGGTGGCTCACACCTTTAATCCCAGCACTCGGGAGACAGAGGCAGGTCAACTCTGTGAGTTCGAGGCCAGCCTGGTCTATAGAGTGAGTTCTAGGACAGACTCCAAAGCTACAGAGAAACCCTGTCTAGAAACAAACAAACAAACAAACAAACAAGAACAACAGCTAAGAGGTGAGTGTGGGCAGGAACCATGCTGGGAGCCTGGCAGCAGAGACGCCATGAGACCTCCCATTGTTCATCCTTGGCTCTCTTCTCAATGTTCCAGGCCACGCACAGGGAAACAGAGGACTCCACTCCCAGCACCGACGTTTCATGACTAGATAACTCCTGGAGTTGTGCAGGACCAAACTTGGATGCGCACAGTGACCCTGATACGGCAAAAACTAACACACATACATAAGTGATGACAACGTCCTGCCTGGGTGTGGGGAAAGGCTGTGAGGAGGAGACGGGTTGGGTGTGGGGTCTGAAGAGGGACACAGTGGGGAGGGCAAGGCAGGCAGAAGCAGCAAGGTCCGGCAAATTGGCTAACCAAGTTCCTATGAGGAATGGTCACGGTGTGGGGCTGGCGAGATGGCTCAGCTGGTAAGGGGGTTTGCTGCCAAGCCTAATGACCCGAGTTCAATCCCCGGGTCCTACAAGGTGGAAGGAGAAATCCAACTCTTGTAAGTTGTCCTCTGACCTCCACGCCTATGCTGTGGCACTCGTGAGCATGCCCGTGGACACACACACACAGACTAAGTAAGTAAAGTGACTAGGAAGGAGAGTGTGACTAGCTTCGGGGGGGTGTGGTCTCCCTTCTGAGGCAAAGGGAAACCACTGCAGGTTCCTGCTCACATCAGGGGATGCAACTCAGCTGATGGAGAGCTTGCCTAGCACGCACAGAGCCCTGGGTCTGATCTTTGGCATCGCATAAACCGGGTGCAATGGCGCATCATTATAGTGCTAGTTAGTACTCAGGAGGTGAAGGCAGGAGGAACATGACTTCAAGGTCAACCTTGGCTACAGAAGGAGTTTGGGGCCAGCCTGGGATATATGAGACCTGACTCAAAGAACAACAACAACAACCAATAAATAAATAAATAGTTTAAAGAAAGAAAGGAAGGAAGGAAGGAAGGAAGGAAGGAAGAAAAAAAGATCCTTGCTCAGGGTCGCACCATGAACGAGATTATTCAATGGGAGAATTAATGGAATAAGTAGCAGGGGTAGGAAGGGAGTAGAAGGGGCTGTGGGATTCTCTGTGGTATGCGTGGACACTGACGAACTATGTCAGTAGAATATAAGCAAACTGGGGGCACACTGAAAGGCAGGATGATGGACCTTGGGAGGGGGTGCTATATAGAATTTTGTTTGGCTTTCTTTTACTAACTTTTCCTCTTTTTGAGACAGGGTCTCAAGTAGCCCAGGCTAGCCTCCAATTTACTTTGTATCAGAAGATGGCCTTGAACTCCTGATCTGCGAGGCCATCAGGAGCGCACCGCTATACCCCAGCTTCTTTGTTTTTTGTTTGGCAGCAGATCTTGCTATGGAGCCCTGACCGGAAGGTGCTTTATAACCCAGACTGCCTTGAACTCACGGTGGTCCTCCTGCCTCTTCTCCAGTGCTAGGGTTGTAGGCGTGTGCCTGCACACTTAACTAGTAGCCTCCTGGCTGTGTCTGGCAGTATACCAGTGCATCTGAGCGGAGGCTGGGTCCCCAAAGCCCCTCAACACCTAGAGGTATTGAGTGGCATCAGAATCGGAGGCGTCATAGACTGACTTGTTCTCTCAGTTTCCCCACAGATACAACGGTAGCTCTCTCTCCAAAACCCTGGGGGACAGGCCACACCATCCTGGTGGTTCCAGCATATAGAAGCTGGTGGCCTGGCCCCCTTTCCTAGGATTCCCGGCAAAGTCACCGAGAGAGAAGGAACAGGTCCTACAGCCCAAAAGACTCCTCCTTCTGAGACTCAGGCCGTGTCAGGCCATGTTAAACCCCTGCCCCCAACGGCCCCTGGCTCTCTCTCTCTTCTGGAGGGTAGGTCAGAGCAGTGACGCAGGAGTCAGGGGCCCTGGAAAGAGCAGCCTGTTGGGAGGGGTGCGGTGGTCGGGACAGAGCTCCCATGCGGACGTGTGTGGACGTGTGTCCGTGTGCATGTCTCCCAGCTGGACCACAGTTGGGGAGTAGAGCTGAGCCTGGGTGGCAGGTTCAGGAAGAGACTCTGAGAAGGCCCAGTCGGGGAGACGGTTCAGAGTCAGAAGAATCAGGTTCACGTGACTTGCCACCATCTCAAAGGAGCTGCCTCCTGCCTGCGTCTTCATCTTTCTACCCCGTGTTTTGATCACGCTCTCCCCAGTCAAACCCCATGGCTGCCTTCTCCCCGCTCCCTGCCCAGCTTGTTACACTGACAACCTGGCAACCCTGACTGCTTACAGACAACCGCCACTTCCTGGTGCACCTTCTGAGTCTCTCCTCCTTAGGGGTGCGTGCGCGTACGTGCGCGCGTGCTGGTGTAAGTGTGGCGGCTACAGGTTGACTCTGCGATGTCCTGCGCAGTTGCTTCTCCACTTAATTTTTATTACATTAATTAACTGTGCGTGCATCTCTATGTCTGATCGCCACAGGGCCTATCTGTGGAGGTCAGAGGACGACTTGCCGCAGCTGATCCTCTACTTCCGGGAGATGCGGGTTTCAGGGATCAAACTCAGGTCACCAGACTTGGTGGCAGGCACCTTCGCCCCCTGAACCATCACCTCCCTGGCCCTCCACCTTAGTTTTTAAGACAGTATCTCAGTGAACCTGGGGCCTGATGATTAGCTGTCCAGTGAGCTCCAGGGATCCTCCTGTCTCCACCTCCCCAGTCCTAGGATTACAATCACAGGCCACCGTGTCCAGTTTTTAATGTGGAAGCTGGGAAATCTAAATCAGGTCCTCGTGTATATGAAGCAAACAATTGCTAAGTCATTTACCCGACTCCCTCCCCTTATTAATATATATATATATATTATTAAAATTTACTTGTTTTGATTGTATGTTTGGATACTTTACCTATGTGTCTGCGCACCATGTGTGGACAGGATCTGTGGAGCCCAGAAGAGGGCATCAGATTCCTTAGGTCTGGAAAGACACATAGTTATTAGTTGTCAAGAGGCTGCTAGCAACTGAACCTGGGTCCTCTGCAACAGCAGCAAGTGCTCCTAATGCTGGTTATCTCTCCAGCCTCCTCTACTTGGTCTCAATCCATCTAACGCCCTTGTTGGTCCCTCCCCACCAGAATGTCACCAGGGTGGGCATTCATGACTTGGTCCTCAGGTCCCTTCCTAGTCAGCATTCCATATTCCAAAAACATTTCTCTTATCTTTACATTTTAAAGTGAGATTTATAGGCTTTGTTTTATGTGAGGGCGCTTTGCCTGCACATGTGTATGTAGGCCTCATGTGAGCCTGGTGCCCACAGAGGCCAGAAGAGGGCATCCGGACCCTTGGAACTGGGGTTATGGATGACTGAGAAACACCATAAGGATGCTGGGAATAGAACCTGGATCCTCGGCAAAGAAACACGAGCTTAACCACTGAGCCATCTCTTCAGTATGTTAATGTAGCTTTTTTAGCCTACAAAATGAATAAGAGTCTTGCACAAAGCAGACATTAGTTCTGGGGATCTGACTTCTCTGTAGAGCAATTGCATAGAAGGTCTAAGTGTGTGGATGGAAGCAAGACTCAGTGGTAGAGCCCCTGTCTAGAATCCCCCAGTGAGGGGCTGGGGTGTAGCTAAGTGGTAGAGCCCCTGCCTAGAATCCCCCAGTGAGGGGCTGGGGTGTGACTCAGTGGTAGAGCACCTGCTTAGACTTCCCCAGTGAGGGGCTGGGGGTGTGGCTCAGCTGTAGAGTGCCTGCCAAGACTCCCCCGGTGAGGGGATATAGGGGTGTAACTCAGCAGTGGAGTGCCTGCCAAGGCGCCCCCAGTGAGGCTGGGGGTGTGGCTCAACAGCAGAGTGCTTGCCTAGAATCCCTCAGTAAGGGGCGGGAGCTCAGTTATTGAGCATTTGCAAATGTACAGAAAGCCTGGGGTTCCAGCACTGTCAAAACAAAAGCAAGAACCCCACATCAACGGTCCATAGTCCTCAGCAATGTGCCACAGGCTTTCTCTTCTGAAAGTTACCTTTCTGGGTTTTTAGGGTACTAGAAAATGAGAAGGGGTGCGGGGAGGAACCCCACAGTCCTTACTTACTTGCATCTGGTTCCTCAACAGGGACAACTCTGGCTTTTAGAGCAAGTCGTGAGACTGTAAGTAGCAAAAGCACTTGGGCTACTTCCAGACTCCAGCCCCTAGGTATTTCTGATCTAAGTCTCTGTCCTGGGATAAGGACGCCCCCCAGAGGAGGTGATCTGGTGCCCAGCAATTCATAGATCAGCTCCTCACCTCAGTCTAGGCTTCCCGCGCATCTTACAGACGTGCACCCCACTGGGCTCCCCTCCTGGAAATCGGAATCTGTCCACTCCCCCTCAAGGAAGACCCCCCTGACAGCGTGCGTGCCTGGAACAACCCGCTCCACCCCAGCAAGCACCAGACCCAGGCGTCCTGCCCCTTGCTCTGACCCCAGGTGGCCCCCACCCCTGGCGACCCCTCACGCACACACTGCCTCACCCCCACCCCCACCCGCGCACGCACACATGCTGATAACATCCCCGACCCCCGGCCGGAGCCACAGTGTCCCCGGACCAAGCCTGGCCGGTGGCTGCTTCTAGCTGTGTTCCCGAACAGACCCTTGGCCAGAGCCACCGCGTTCCCACTCTGCCAGCGCTCCCTGAACGGTGGCCACCTTCTTCCAGGCTAGTGGGGTGACCTGGTCCCACAGATCTTCCAAGGATGAAGACTAGCAGCGTGGACACTGGCCCAGCCCCGGGTCGCTAAGGGGCCCCGGCAGCCAGTCGCGGAGATGGGGGTGCCCGGTGAGTACTCACAGGCTAGGAACCTGTGACCTCCGGGGCTCCTGTTTGAGCAAGGATTTGCATCTGAAGCTATTGGCCAGGAAGTGGCCGTGTTCAAGGACCAGCGACTAGCCAAGGATCAAGGAAGAGAGAGGGGGTGGGGCAGCCTCCTCCACGTGCACGCAGAGGTTTGGGGAGCCCCCTCGTGAATGACAAAAAGGGGGAGATCCAGAGCAGGGACAAAGTTTAGGATTTTAGGGAGCTGAGGCGCTGCTCTGTGGGTGAGAAGCTGCTCAAAGAATTACCTGCGTCCAGGAGTCCCAGCTTCTCAGGATCTGCCAGCCTCTGGCGCGCACCCACAGTGAAGTTTGACCGAGAAGTGGATGCCGGTCGCTTGGGGGGTGGGGTGTGCAGCGCCGAGGGGCAGAATGAAAGCCACTCAGGCAGAGAGAGCCTAAGCAATTGCAAGGTCGGGGTCAGCAAATACTCGCTGAGCACACCAGCCTCTGCAGGACCACCGCCCCCTCCCCTCCCTGCCTCACTCTCAGCCTGCCTTTCTTCTAGAACGTCCCACCCTGTTGCTTTTGCTGTCCTTGCTGCTGCTTCCTCTGGGCCTCCCAGTCCTCTGTGCTCCCCCTCGCCTCATCTGCGACAGTCGCGTTCTGGAGAGGTACATCTTGGAGGCCAGAGAGGCCGAGAATGTCACGGTAAGCTCCCCGGTCCCACAAAAGAAACTGGTTCTTAAGGGTCTAGGAATTTGGGTTCTTTCTTAGCGCTGCCTTTAGGGTCAAGATGAGATGTTTAATCCCAAACCTCTTCCACCCCCCACCCCCCAAGAATGATAAAGCTGGACAGGGGATGTGTGGCCCAGTTTGGTACAGTGCTGGCTTAGTGTACAAGCAACCATGGTTTCGATTCACCTACATCCCTAGTATTTGGGAGGTGGAGTACAAGGATCAGAAATTCAAGGTGAGCCTCGGTTTCATAAGCCGAGGCTAGCCTCAAATTTGAAACCCTTGACACGAAACTCTGTGTAAAATAGGGAAGAATGCTAAAGCTGGTGGCCCCCAAAGCATGCCCAGTAACGCTCAAAGACAGAGAGTATCTGCAGGCTTTTTGGGGGTCTTGATGTGGTGGTGTGTCTTTCAGATGGGCTGTGCAGAAGGTCCCAGACTGAGTGAGAACATTACAGTCCCAGACACCAAAGTCAACTTCAATGCTTGGAAAAGAATGGAGGTGAGTTCTATTTTTTCCCCTTCCTAGAGGTGGGTGGGTCTCAGTCTGACACCCCGATAGTGTGGAGGAAAGAATGATAAAGACAATCCCTGATGGGATATGGTAGCATCCATTCAACAAACCTTACTGCGTGCTTTACTGCTCCTTCTACCTAGCCGCTAGGGTGTCTGACAGCCAGGGAGACACTGGATGGCCCTTTCTAAGTCTTTTGCCTCCTCTAGGTGCAAGAGCAGGCTGTAGAAGTTTGGCAAGGCCTGTCCCTGCTCTCAGAAGCCATCCTGCGTGGCCAGGCCCTGCTGGCCAACTCCTCCCAGCCATCAGGGATGCTTCAGCTGCACATAGACAAAGCCATCAGTGGCCTGCGCAGTCTCACTTCCCTGCTCCGGGTGCTGGGAGCCCAGGTGAGTAGGAATGGGTGTGGACTCAGCTGAGGGCTGAGCCTGTAAGATAGCTCAATGGGTAGAGGTACCTGCTGCCAAGCCTGATGCCCTGAGTTCAAAATCCCCGGAAGCCACCATGGGAGAAGAGAACTGGTTCTCTCAAGCTTGGTCTCTCACCTCCACCTACATGCTGTGGTGCATATGAGTACATAAATGAATTCATGTAATAACAAATCTAAAACAAGGAATACTGAGAGCTCAGGCTGGGAGATGGGGTGGGGGTGGCATGCTTGCTGCACAGATGTGAGAAATTGAGTTCAATCTCCATCACTTCTGTTTAAAAAACAAACAAACAAACCAAACAAAAACAAGGTAAGGTGAAATACACATGTAATCCCAGAGCTGGGGCATAGGAGCACGGGGATTCCTGGGACTCACTAACCAGCCGTCCAACTCTGTTGGTGAGCTCCAGGTTCATGAGAGATGCTGACTCAGAAACTAAGGTGGAAGGGCTACAGAGATGGCTCGGCGATTAAGCGTGCTTGCTGCTCTGGTGGAGTTCAGTTCCTAGCCCCCCCACCTCAGGTGGCTCTCAGCGGCCTTTAAATCCAGCTCTAGGGGATCTGAGGCTGGATCCCAGACTCCCTGAGCTCCTGCACACATGCAAACATGCATATAGAAACAGACAATGCGGAGTGACTGAGGAAGACACACCTCTTGCTTCTACACCTCATGCGTTGTCTGCATACACACCCCCCCACACGTTGTGCACACACATACATACACCCCCACACGTTGTGCACATACATACACCCCCACACGTTGTGCACATACATACACCCCCACACGTTGTGCACACACATACATACACCCCCACACATGTGCACACACATACATACACCCCACACGTTGTGCACACACATACATACACCTCCACACGTTGTGCACACACATACATACACCCCACACGTTGTGCACACACATACATACACCCCCACACGTTGTGCACACACATACCTACACCCCCACACGTTGTGCACATACATACACCCCCACACGTTGTGCACACACATATATACACCCCACACGTTGTGCACACACATACATACACCCCACACGTTGTGCACACACATACCTACACCCCCACACGTTGTGCACATACATACACCCGCACACGTTGTGCACACACATACATACACCCCCCACACATTGTGCGCACACATACATACACCCCCACACGTTGTGCACACACATACATACACCCCCACACGTTGTGCACACACATACATACACCCCCACACATTGTGCACACACATACATACACCCCCCACACGTTGTGCACACACATACATACACCCCACACACATTGTGCACACACATACACACCCCCCCACACGTTGTGCACACACATATATACACCCCCCACACATTGTGCACACACATACATACACCCCCACACATTGTGCACACACATACATACACCCCCACACGTTGTGCACACACATACATACACCCACACACGTGCACACACACGCATACACCCACACACGTTGTGCACACACATGCATACATCCCCACACGTTGTGCACACACATACATACACCCACACACAAATAATACTGAGGGCATTCTTCATCATCCCCTCTATTCTGTTCCTGGTTACCTTTTCTTTTCTTTTTCTCTTTCTTTCTTTCTTTCTTTCTTTTTTTTTTTGGTTTTCAAGACAGAGTTTCTCTGTGGCTTTCGTGCCTGTCCTGGAACTAACTCTCATAGACCAGGCTGGTCTCGAACTCACAGAGATCTGCCTGCCTCTACCTCCTGAGTGCTGGGATTAAAGGCATGCAACACCACTGCCAGGCTTCTTATTACATTTTCATCCGCGGTCCTCAGCACTGCAGTGACATCATATTTTCTCTTGACAGAAGGAGTCGATATCCCCTCCAGATGCCACCCCACCGGCTCCACTCCGAACCCTCACGGTGGAGAATTTCTGCAAACTCTTCCGAGTCTACTCCAACTTCCTCCGGGGCAAACTGAAGTTGTACACGGGGGAGGCCTGCAGGAGAGGGGACAGGTGACCTGCTGCTGCTACCGTGATGTGTCCACCAACTCGCTCACCGTCGCTGCCTGTGTCACGCCAACTTTCCACCACTCCCAACCCTCCTCAAAGGGGTTGTGACCTCCTCACCAGCTTGTCCTCGGGACACTCCAGCATCAGCAGTGACATCTTGGGGAGCCAGAACTTTTCAGAACTCCATTCTAAAGTCTGAAGATGTCACCTGGCCAACCTGAGGCCCCAGAACAGGAGAGAGTCAGACAGCCATCTTGCATTTATCTGTTTTGTTCTTGTTGAGACAGGAGGGTCTCACATAGCCCAGGCTGGCCTGGAACTCGCTGTGTAGCTAAGGATGACTTTGGACTCCCGATCTTCCTGCTTCCGTTTCCCAAGTGCTGAGATTGTAAGCGTGCACCCACCCATTTATGGGGTGCTGGAGATGGAAGCCGGAGCTTCATGCATGCTAGGCAAGCACTCTACAAATTGGACTATATCCTCGGCACCCAGAAACCAGCATATAACTCAGGGACAGAGATCTAAACTCAGTGTCCTGCTGGAACTGTGACCCCACAGGACAAGCTTTGGGGTTCAATCCTTGTGGCACCTACGAAGAATACAGGGACTGGAGATTGAGGGGGCAAGCCATGACTTCTCCAGGTCTCATGGGGTCTTCCCTGACACATGTCCCACTGGACAGTAGAGGGAGTGAAACCATGAAGACACAATGCAACTGATTCTTAACTTTCATGGGCGGGAAGGGGTTTGAAGTTTTGTTTTTTTGAAATACCACTGGCAACAGCTGAAATCACCAACACGACTCCTGGCTTGTCTGTCTTCATGGGTGCTCCCCCTCCCAAGCTCTCCTGGCTCTACCTCCCCCCCCCCCCCAACCTGGTAGCAAAGCATCAGATCTGGGAAACCAGAGGTGGAGGGGGTGGGGCCCTACGTGCTGCCTCGCATGGCCTGTTTGACCTCTTGACCCTCCTGGGCTTGAGGCCACAATGCCTGCCCACGCTGGTCAATAAGCAGGCTCCATTCAAGGCTGTCTCTTAGTGGGCAGCTGCCAACCCTCCAGGACAAGTGCTAGGTGAGCTGGGGATACCACCGAGGAAGCAGCCAATATGTAGGGGTTCCCATTTAGAGGTCGGTGGCAACGCCAACCCCGGTTAATGGATCAATATGTCCCTAGCACTAGTCACCTACTTCAGGATACAGACCCCTTGTGAATCCAACCACCTGTGTCTTTCGTATTCCGAGAGGTGTCACTCTGAGGGTCTGACTCTCAGGGGAAACCCTGAGAGTCAACAGATTGATGAGTGACAGGTACCACAGCCAGGGGATGAGGGTGACTCCATATTGTTCCTGGGACTCCTTCCCTGAAGTAGTGCTTCAGGTGGAGAGAGCCGCACAACCCGTCAAAGACGACACACACTGTACCAGGACCCCAGCCCTGGCTGTTAGCCTGTGTGGCTGTCGTTCATTGTTCCCAAAACAAGGCCTTTAGGATCCAGCCCGAAAGCTCAGCCTAATATTCAAAAGAGATTATTTCTACAGTGCACTGCAGGAAAAATTACACGCACAATGAAGGAGTTAGGGGCTGGAGAGAATTTATTAGGGGTGTGTGTGTGTGTGTGTGTGTGTTTGTATGCTCATGTGCCCTGAAAAGAATTTGGGGGGGAGGCGAACTTAGCTCTTGAACTACAGTGCCCTCTTCAGGCGCAGTTGGGAATTGTTAGGGAGTCTTCCAAGCGATGGCTTTCCTCAAGGTTTTATTGTGGTTTCCAGACCAGACATCCGATTGTTGCCTCCCTTGCTATGAATGGGCAAGGGTGAGATCTCTTTTGTAGGTTGTTGGAGTTGCAATTAATAGAATTGGGGGTGGGCTTGGTGTTTTTGTTTGCTTGTCTTTTGAGACCAAATGGGCTAAATTGCTCAGGCAGTCCTGGAACTTAGAATTTTCCTGCCTCAGTTTCCCAAGTGCTGAGAGCACAGGCCTGGAACACTACATCTGGCTTAGCTTTGTTATTTTTTTTTTTTCTTAAAAAGGTTTATTTTGGTATCATTTATTTATTATTCTTCGTGTGTGTAGGCCAGAAGAGGGCCAGATCCCCCAGAACTGGACTTATGGGCAGATGTGAGCTACCCAGTGTGGGTCCTGGAAACTGAACTCTGGTCCCCTGTAAGAGAAGCAAACACTTTCAACCACTGTGTTGACTCTCCAGACACATTAGTCTTGTTTTGTTGTTGTTTGTTTTCCGAGACAGAATCTCACTATGTAGCTCTGGCTGTCCTACTACTCACTTTGTAGACCAGGCTGTCCTTGAACTCACAGAGATCCACCTGCCTCTACCTGGTGAATGTTGGATCAAAGGTGTGTGCCACCATGCCGGGCTTTAGTCTTGCCTTTAAAAAAAAAAAAAAAACTTTCTTTTTATTTTTTGTGTCTTTCACATCATGCCTCCTGATCTCACCCATCCCCCTCCCCCTCCCCCCTCAAGATTAAAACAAAATTTAACAGAATAAAAGGGGGGAAAAGGGAGAAAGGGAAAATCTCATCATGGCAGCTGCAATGTGACACAGTGAGCCACACAGTGAACTCCTTTATCCTTACATCCTTACACGCAGGCGCTCATCGCAAAGAATCTTTGGTCTGGTTTGAGACCCCTGGTCTCTGCTACACCGTTGATGCTGGACTCTTCCTGGCCATCCTGTTGCTGCCCTATATCATGGAGATCCTGCAGCCCTGGGTCCACAGGACTGACCCCACCCCACCACCCGCTCCATGCTCCAGCAGATCATAGATTGGGTGGCTGTTGTGGCGGGTCAACATACAACTCTGGGTTTGGGTAGTTGCAGGTTGGTCAGCCTGCCAGCTCTCTTCTGTCTTCACCACCAGGGGGAGCTCTCCAGCATTGCCCCAGCTAGTAGCATGCACAAGGGACAGGGCCAGGCTTCCACAGCCCCAGGGTCGGTTCTTCAGGGCCAGCTCTACTATGTTGTCCAGGGAAGGTGTGTAGGGGACACTCTTCCAAGTGCTGTGCATGAGGAGGGGATTTCAGGGCCAACTCTTCCCCCTGCCTCAGGTGTTGACGGGTGGTGGGGACCTCTCCCCTGCCCCTGCCACCACATGACAGATGAGTAATGGGGACGGCCCTCCCATGCTCACAACATCGGGGTTGGCTCACCCACACCTTGGCCAACAGGGTCAGCTCTACAGTGCTACCCAGGTGAGGAGCAGGGCCCTATTTCCAGAGTGCTGCTGCTGGCCAGCTCACTTCTCTGTTGCAGGCAGGCAGGAAGGGGCAAGGGGCTGGGGGCATCTCTCTCCCACCCACACTGCTGCATGACAGACGAGTAGTGGGGACGGCTCTCCCATGCTCACGAATCCCCCATACTCACGAATCCGGGGCTGGCTCACTTTTATTGTGCTGCCTAGGCAAGGCGCAGGACCTGCTCCTGAGTGCTGCAGCTGCTGGGGTCAGGGACAGCTCGCCCGCCCTTGTGACCTCTGTAGTCTTGCTTTTAAGGTCAAGGAAAAGCACTAATCAACAGCTGGCACCCGACCATGAGTTCGGCATTTATCAAGCCCAGCGTCTTGCCCACTTCTCTCACTCCTGCAACCCAATACCTGACAAGAAGCGACTCAGGGGAGAAAGGGTTTATTTCCTTACACTTTCAGGGGGCACACGCCATCATGGTGGGGGAGGCACGGCAGTGGGAACACAAGGCGACTGGTCAGGCCGCAGAGAGAGACAGATGCTGTTGCTTAGCTTGCGCTCGCCTGGGCTGCGGTTCAGGACTCCAGCCCAGGAAATGATGGCCATATTCACCTCAGCAAACCTACCTTGGGCAATCCCTGCCTCGCAAATGTGCCCACAGGCTGGTCTCTCCGCCGGGCTCTAGACCCTGCCAAGTTGACAATGACCGTGACACCACATCAGCTTAGCTTGGCTTGTTTTTAAGGCTCAGGTGTCTAAATGGTTAAGTAACTAGCTTTCTTGTCGGGGCCTCTGACCCTCCTCCAGCCTCTCTTCAGACATTTCACTACTTCACATGTTAAGTGTCTGAGGCAGAAGAGCAGGGATTCCAGCCCAGCCTGGGCTATGTAGAAGAGTCATCCTGTTTTTGTTGTTTGTTAGTAGCAATTGAACATTGTTGTAACCGATCTTCTGTTTTCTTCAAGACAAGGCTTCTCTGGGTAGCCCTGGTTGTCTTGAAATTCACTCTGTAGACCAGGCTGGCCTCGAACTCACAGAGATCCTCCTGCCTGAGTGCTGGGATTGAAGGCGTGCACCGCCACCACCTGGCTTGAGTGTTGGCAGCCCACAGAAAAGGACAAGGAAGAAGAAAATGGCGTTGTGTGTGCTTGCCCTCACTTTCACTGACAAGTCTGAAGCCCGGTTGCTCTGGGAATCCTTCAACATCAGAGCCAACTTCCTGGGATTCCGGTGTGGACCGAAGAGCAGTCCTTCAGTGCCGTATTAGGAAGGCTGGGACATCATCCCTGTGAGCTGAATGATTACTAGGTCTCTCTGATGTGAGACTGAAGGAGAATTAGGCAGAAAGGACCAATGATTTGATAGTGATTTATTGATTTATTTGCTGATTTGCTCAAAGCGCCGCTTGCCCTGCCTACTGGCCAAGCGTGACTTCGCTCGCTAGCGGGAACAGAATGACCTGGGGAAAAAGCTAATACAGCGGTCGTTGCCCTTCACAACCTGCTGACTGCCACCTGTGCCATTGTGAACCTCGCTAGCCTGCCCCACCGTGTGGTTTTAGAGTATAATGTGAGAAGACAAAGTGGATCAGGGATCGAAGCCTCTCAAGAGCCGTCGTCCTGGCTTTGGCTCACTGGGGACATCTCCTCTCCTCTATTCTCAGTGGTGTCAGATTGCTTACTGCAGAATGATTACAAGGCAGCCTCATCCTGTAAGTCAAACAAATAGATCCCCTTTACATATGTACATGAATATAAATGTAAAGGGGATTTGCTTTATTTGTGTATATATGATTATGCATGTG